AGTGCCTGTTATTGATTTATAAATAATAAATAATGCGAATAACAGCTAAATGAGTGTATGCTTTATAGGAGTGCAAAATTTGCTTTGTAATCTTATGCATCACTAATCTAGATGTTCATAAATTGTAGTTATAATTATTACTAAAATAAGTGATTTCCAAAAATACAGCACGTTATTTGAATAATCGGACCTATGTTGTCCTAATTGTCAATCGTCAATTAAGATTTTATTCTCGAACAAGTATGCAGAATATATTCATAGTCTTTAATTTCATGGCGACCAAGACCGCAGATGCACTCTATTATTCGCTGCTCCCTGCCTTATTTAATTCCCTCCTCGCAGTCTATTTTTTTCTGCTGCTGCTGAAAAATATGGACGTTTGCTTCTGAACTGCCTTTTCTACGTCGAATCCGTAGCATCTTCTGTAAGAGTTCAGCAGTAGTCGGCGAGCAATGACTCGTCCCAACGGCCCTAATATCTGCGTTCCATTCCAGATATATATTGATGGAATCATCCACCATCCTCATCACTTACAGCTCCAGTTTTAAGAAAACAAATCAAGATGAAATTAGAGGAAAGAAATTGTACAGATACATTGCATCCAGGTTCATCGTACCTTTGTTGGAGTTAACAGTTAACTGTTAGAAGTTGTCATCTCTTTGGTTGCTTAGAAATCCTCGTACCACACCTTTAAAGGATTCCCATTCTGCATTTTCTTTTCCCTCTAATGTTTCATCAAGCGCACGGTCCTGTATTTTGTGATATTAAGTCCTGGTTGGAGATTGGACTACACGCCATTGCTTTAGTCTTGATCCATAAAGCTGTTTTCTTCTTCAGTAAGTCAAGATCTCTCATGAGATTACTCAATTCTCTCTGATTCAGTATCTGGAGCTCGCTCCAATATTCTGCCTCAAAAACTAGATTACGGGAATTCCCAGACCTAGCAACTGCTTCTTCTTCTTGGTATCGTCCGGCATCATCCTTCTCAATTTCATAATTTGGAATGACAGATAAACCGAATGAGGAGTGTGATCGAACACAGAGATACTCTATTGGTACCCTCTTTTTTGTTGACCAACCTTGATTCAAGCAGGATGTTAAGCCGAAATAACAATCGTCTACATGACCGAGCAAGAGTTACAGGAAGCATTTGAGGCGCAGGGTTTATTCTGACGACCTATCTAAGTAAGCTGTCTTTACAACTGGGCTTATGGTTCGCTTCTGGGCTTCAAAAGACATTTTACCACAGACGATACAAATGCTGTTGAGGGCATTGACATACTTCCAGAGATTTTCTTATAAACAGAAATTGGGAATATTAAGTAACTTTAAAGAAAAATCCAAGAAGAAACAAGAGCACGCACCGGTTTCTTATCTATTCAAATACCATATTACTCATGTAAGAATGAGACAATGGAACATATTTTTTGTCTTATCTGAAAAAAAGCATATTATAATATTTATGAAACCAAGACCGTCCATCGATAACAGTCACGATGCGTTCTGACACGGGGCCCTCTCAGCCTTATTCTAGGTTTTTAGGGGGACCCTACTGAGCTTTTGTGTCGCTCCCCGGAGGGCATAGGACCGTTACTGGGTTAGAGCGTAATGAATAAACAGATTTATTTTGGACCCAAAAATTTTGATTCTTTGTGAGTTTGTGAGTCAATGATTCTTAATTTGTAAGCATAGCAAATTTGAAAATACGCATTATGTGAATATTACAGTTTAAAAATAACATCTAAAGCAGAATAATAAACCTGATAAAAATACATGCGCATGAAGTAGTTTTGAATTTCTAGTTTATTAAATGAGTTTGAACTCCTTCTGCGTAAAACTTTTATGTTGCACCACAAAGAAGAAACCCTCGTGATTCTTTGCCGACCCTGTATACCCCGATAAGAAATTATCCTGGTGTATTTTAAAGACGTCAGTGGTCTATAACGGAGTCATCACAGTCTTGCACTTTTGGTTTTTGATGACCAAAGTTGCACATGAATTTTTTTATGAATAAAAATCAATATTCGGCAAACATTTTGTTCAGCCTGTATATTCGAAGCGGAACCGTTTCTCGAAAATCGTCGAAGAAGTATTCTAGGAATCATTCAAAAAAATCAGCTCGATCAATTTTTGACCTGTTGTCTTGTATTTTTAAAATATGCTGTATATTTGAGTATTATTTTGTTTATTATATTCACTACGTACATTGATTTTAATCACCCCGGCAAAGATTAGCAAAGTGTAGCATAAGATCTACATCAAAGGTCATGCCTGGACTTCGTCCAAAGCTCGATACGATCTCACATATCCTACGACTTAAATATACCGTATCCAATTTTAGCAGTTTTCTTCAAGGGGAATGTAATTTAATCCAAAAGTCTCAAGTGCTCCAAAGCCAACACATAGTAAAGTAGGTCAGTTAATTCCTTAGATTATTCGGAAACTTCAGCTGCAGAAGCTTCAGCTTAGGTATTGATAGCTTGCCGGGCGTCCAATAAATGTTAAACAATATCCAACTATGTTTCTATTAGGCTCAATCAGGTAGTATGAGAAACCTATTTTTTATGTTAAAGTAGCTAAGAAGTTAGGGTGGTTAGCGCGCGCCGAGCTAGCAATCTGGAGCTCGCGGGAACGAATCTCCGTCTCGGAAGTTAATTCCTTGCTATGGAGGTTGTGTTGCGTGTTGTCTATATCACGGACGTGAGGGCAATATTAACGGTACACCTAAACTGAATCCAAATTCAAGATGAGATGTAAATAATAACAGTTAGCGCGTGATTTCTCGGTAACAGGTGGGGACAACGCCTCTTATTGGTCAATTCGCCATTAAATTTCAAGCGGTCGCCTGGCGGAATAATGCGCGGGGCAGGGGCAGGGCAGGCAGAGTTGCACTCAGGCCACCGTCCGTCGCGTGTATCACTGCGTGCTCGTGTTTTCGTATTCACTTGCTTGGTTGTTGCTGTTGTTGTTGTTAAGTGTATTTGAGTAATTTGTTAAGTTTCTGTTTCTGTTAAATACTGTCATCTTTGTTTTACAACACGTTGGTGGTAGTCCATCATTCGGAGGTAGCCCTGTACGCCGTCCTTGCTTTTGGCAATCACGCATCCATTCTATCTTGGGTGTAAATACACTATAGGTACATCTCATGGCTGGAGCTAGTTTACTGAGTCAGTTACCAGAAGATGGCTCTTGGAATAGTACAGTTTTGGTACTAAGGGGTCGGCAAAAGGGTCAAAGGTGGCCGCCTAGTTGCCCAGCTTCGCTACCCCACCATTAATAGCTACGAAGGCAGAGCGGTAATTTATATCGCAATACTTCGAAATTACGGGTTTTGATCTGGCTAAGATCAACAGAACAAAGAGTAGATTGTCGTCAATAGGTTGGTACGTTAAAAGGCTAGAATACTTAACTTGATGTGAGTTTGAATCACATTAAGTAGTGCTTAGACTTCATGGTCTATCATGTCTCACATCTATGTATATTTTATGCAATGACTTATTGCCATTTTTTTCCTGCAAGCACAGTCAACATTCCGCATTACGCCATGCCCGAATTGCTCATGTGATGTCCATCCATAATGTTGAAGTTTAACCTATTCAACCCTTGTAACAGAGGTATAGCAACCGCAGTATCACCTATATCACTCCATAGCTTACAGCAGCCCCGACGAATGAAATATGCGTTAAGAGTTACTCAGAATCAATCAATTGATCACATGGCAAGTTGACAATAGCATGCTAGCTATTGGTCCGGACTTGATTCCTGCCGTTGTATTGAAGAGGTGTAGAACGGAGCTTGCTCCAGTACGAATCCGGTACTCTCCCAGAAAACTGGAAATTTGCTCATGTCCAACCCATACCAAAAAAAAGGGATCTCAGACCGACCCTTACAACTACAAGCACTTAGCTCTGCTTTCTATTATAAGTAAGGTGATGGAGAGGTGCATAAATCGCGAACTTCTGGACCACTTCGAATGTTACGGCTTGATTAGCGACGGGCAGTATGGTTTCCGGCACCAGCGACCCACAGGCGATCTCCTAGCTCACGTCACGCAATTGTGAAGTAAACTAAATCAGTATTATGGTGATAGGTGAAGCTCATGTTGCTCTTGATATCACGAAAGCATTTGATCAACTGTGGCACGCTGCCGTCTTATGCAAACTTCCATCATATGGCCTCCCAGAGAACATTTGAAAATGGGTCCCTGACTTTCTCTCTGGCCGCAAGATATCCGTCGTAATTGACGGTTCTCCTCTTCATTCCACAACATCAACGCGGGTGTTCCCCAGGAATTGGTCGTGGATCCGACACTGTTCCTCTTACATATTAACCACCTCCTTTCCTGTACGATCAACCCAATTCATAGCTTTGCTGATGACAGTATTCTACATGCAGGAATTTAGAGCGACAAGCCGATCTTCTGCAGGTGCATTTCGGCTAATCGGAGTCCATGATTACCGAGGACTTGAGCTGGCATGAACACATTTCGTTAACAGCGGCAGCTGCTGAGAAAAAGCTAGGGCTATTTGTTTGAGGCTAAGTACTTGTCTCCACATTACCTCCTCGCTCCATACAAGGTCCAGCCTCGAGTATTGATCACACTTTGGGAGTGCTGCCGCCCCGACTGCATTAGTCATGCTCGATGCTGTCCAGAGGAGGGCTGTCCGACTAATAGATGCCTTTTCTCTAGCAGACAGTCTCGAGATCCTTTCGCACCGGCGGGCCGTCGGCGATCCAGCTCTCTTCTATCGCTTCTCCTCAGAGCTCTCCACCATGATGCCGCCGCGCGATGGGTCTGTCAGACAGACCCGACTTCGGCTTCCTATCGTAACCATTTCGAACTTCGTGCATTCAGAACTGGCCGATACGACCTCTCCTTTGTCCCTAGGATGTCGAGATTGTACGTAGAACAATCTACAAGAGGAGGCTTTTCCCAATTCTACTAATCCTCGGCAACTCAGAAATCGGAATAAGAAGGTTTCTTTGAGATCCTCATAGCAGCCGCGGTGTCCTGGCATTTAGGCTTCTGCCTCTAGAATTGCAATAGGTGATATGGGTGGCCCCAGTGCAGGGCAACTGGACTGCTCGGGACGCAACATTATCTTAATACGTAATTTACATTCATTTTCTTTTTAAATTTAAAAACACTGGCTGATGAAATATGAATAGTTTCATCGTTGCTGACAAAACTTCCCTCTTGCAGTTCTTAAATTTATCACTAGTCTCAAAATTGCTCCCTTATGCATGACATTACGAATACTGTTAACGTTCCCATCACCGTTACTTCTAGACAACGGAGTTTATCAAAATTGAAAAGGAGCTGCTCAAGAACTCTGAATTTCAGTTTTGCCAGGGAAGCCGAAATCTCTAGGGCTGGCCCTGCAGCAGGAAGAAGAAAGGAAGTAGTCTTGTGGAACCTTAAATGAAAAAACAACGCTCGTGTCCACGGCATGTAGCTATAGCCGTGGCGACGTTGGTTCATACCTCTGAAACACGAGGTCTTCTGGCTGAAGCCACAAATGCGGCTTTCCCCCTTTCCATCCTTAATTTCCTTCAGGTGACACAGGTATCTAGATGTGATAGGCATATGTTTCCACTTAGGTAGTCTTCGCTGCACATCCATTTGGGCCTCATGAAGCCAATTAGCAGAATCGTACGTCGCACGGATTACCAAGCCTTCTGTTTTCATTTCTGCTCCTGTTTCTTTATTGTAAACATGCCCACGGTTGTCCTTTGTTTTTCATTAAAAGCGATTAAATTATCTTAGAACTTCACTATGAGAGTTGGTACTGTCTTTATAGATAAAGACTCTTGAAATCTACTCGGTACACACTGGAAATCTCTGACACATAAATGATGTTTGGGTATCAATATTTTTATGAACATGTAAGTCAAAAGTAAGCCCTGCTGTTGCTAAGCTTTAGTACAGTTTTTGCTCGTAACATCGCTGCCACTTAAACAAAAATTATGAAGTAGCATTACCTTCTACGACCCCTAAGCATGCTGCTTCCCGTTTCGTGATTACGAGACACACAGACAAATCGACGGAAATAGGTGGTAGGCTTTACGTGACGTAGACATTGCAAAGCATATAATACTTATTATTTGAAATTATAATATTTTCGCGGTCACAGTACCTCACTCTCATTTAAGCGTGATAAGAAATGCGAAGAGCGCAGTGGCGTAGCTACCTTGCGTGGCACCCGGTGCGGAAGTTGGTGGTGTCACCCCATCGAAAGTCAAAAGCAATAAATTTTATATGCTTTATAAACGTCATGGATCACTTAATATTTATATTTAAAATATTGAACAAATAACAAAACAATGAAAACCAAGACAGAAAACATATTTTTATCTTGTAATTGAAATATCTTCTCTCTAGCTTTGATGCCGGAACCGCACGCTTGCCAAATCGCCGCAAATCGTCACAAACGCA